TGTAAACTTTCTCTGGAAGGCACACCTGTTAATTACTTTTATAAATGGCTGCACGTATATTTAGTTATTTTAAGACTAACTGTCTTGACCCCATTATGACTGCATAGTTATTAACTGATTAAGGTTATTTTATTGAGTAATTTGCCAATTCTCGAAGTATTTTATCTTTATATTTGGATAATTTCGACACCAGAGAGTTATGAATAAATTCATGGCGCATTCGGTGATACGCTTAATGTAGAATTCACTCTTGTGAAGTCGCAGTTGAAGACTTCGTTTAGGGATTATATCGCGTTGATGAAGTAACAGATGGCATCTCACAGACGTCCTGAAGCGGAATCGCCCCCGGAATTCGTAAGTTTTCAACGTTTCTATTGCCACTGTTAATTTATAATTTATATATGATAAACTGATAGGGCCGTTGAAGAGTAAATTTTTTTCATGCATTGTGTTCTTCCTGAGTACTTAGCATGTCATATAGAAAGTACTCATTTATTATATCCAATATCATCATCTTCTGCAGTTTTTTCGTTACACTACTGGACGAAGGCATTCGAATTGTTTCCCGTAAGCTTCTGTTTCCTATAATTCTTATTCATTTTAATCAGACGAATTTCGTACATCTTACCGTCGATCTGAACGTCTTCCTGTGGTCCGTTTGCTCTCTCTTAAAATTTATTCTAAAGATTCTCTGATCCAGAGATGGTGGATTCTTCTTGTAGCGTGCCGTGCCCATTGCCACTTCGAGTTATTCACTCAGGCAGTAACATCGCAGACTTTTGTTTGTGCTCTTACCCGTTCATTAGTCTTTCAATCTTATTATTCCCAGCATATGCATCTTTCCATGCTGCGTTGCGTTATCTGTAGTTTGTGAATGGCTTTCAAACTTACTAGCCGCGTTTGGCACCCATGGATTGCCTTTGAAAGCACAAATTGATTGAAAATTTACCTTTTCAGACACAAGCGCAGTTTGCCAGAAAATGACAGTTTTAATCTTCCAATTAAATGCAGCGTATGTATTAGAAACTTAAGCTTGTTTTTCCGGTCGATACGTCCACAGCATTCCAACTAAATTGAAATCAGCCTCCCCACTAATGATGTGACGAAGATTCCGGCGGCAGACGTACAGTCTTTTCCCTTGCTCCCAAGAATCTGTTCGCTTATTCGAAGATGCCCAAATTCTCGCAAGCGCGTTTTCACGCAGGTTTCCCTAATGACAGTTTGCACTGTTTTATATTTTGATTGACTTTACTTGTTACTGTTAATTAGGTGCATATTTTATAGTTCTATAATGAAACGGAATCTAGAAAATATACCTCAAAGTAGGTTATATATTTTAATGTAATAGTTTGTTTGACCTAACCGCTATTTTCAGCTCTCATCTCATCAAAATACAGACTGAAATGACCGAGAGGGCTGTAGAACTGCTAGCCATAGAAGAAGAAGAACCGCACTACCTTTTGGATATAGGGTGAGTTATATTATATTTCATTTAAATCTGTAGCACATTTACAAATTTACTATGTAATTTTTAATCGTTCGGTATTCCTCAGTCACGTAATATTTGCGGGTTCCAATACTTCCTTCAGTCTTTACTCCTTTCTCAGTGGTTTTTGTAATTATTACATTTAATCGTCCTGTTTTTCTGAATCTTTACGTCTTGGCAATTTGTGATCCTGTCGATGCCACTGGACAATGGCAGCTGCCAGTTTGTGATCAGTAAACTGAGCTACTTGCGGTCCCATCGCATTTTGCTCGCTTTGCTTTCCACGATGATATTTTTCACTCTGGTTTATTGAATTTGGACATGGTCGCGGATCGAAATTCCCAACTTCTTTCTTTTCATGGCTCTTCCGGCAATTACATGGAAGATGTTCTTTGTCTTTTTTCAGCAATCATGTTACGCTGCCTTACAGCATTGCCGGCAATACGATGTGTTTATGACAGACCATCGTTCCTCTGTTCATCTTTCCAAGTAGGATATCCTTGATGGAGTTAAAAGGCCTCTCGCTTGCTGTCCTTCTAAGCGAAATTTCAGCCTTTTTATCGCGTAGCGTATTAACTTTTTCCCAAATGAAGATAGCTATTCATTTCTTCAGTACCTTCCCTATTATTCACTACTTCGGGGCTTGCAAACGACTACACATGCAGGCATGGAATTGCGTTTTCACATGCAGCGTGTGATATTTATCTAATTTTTCGACTGTTAGTTTGGCATTTATAAAACTGCTTTGTATTCTTTACAAAGGCGGTATTGATTCAACATCCCAAGAATAGTACCCTCGGTTGATCTTTTAATTACATGACTGATGACTATAAACGTAGTTATATTTATGCAGAAACCGATGCCTTTCTAATGACGGAAGCTATTTTTCATAACGGTTGACCATCAGAAAAAATATGCACGCAGGGGCGCAAAGTGCCATAAACTTTACATTACTACAAGGATTAACAAGCACGTTTAAACTTTAGTTTGTAGTATTGAGTATTCCTCAAAACCAAGTTTCATAGGACAGCTTCTTGTTAATAGATGCATAGAGTGTTTGTGCCTCAATTATATCATGGCTCTGATCATGCAGCTGTTGCGGTGTTTTATACATTTCGAGTGATTTTGTTTATCAGAACAATGCTTTGTTCTTCATCACTAATTTTGTTATCATCTGTGCATTGCGTCTGACCAAACTCCATGAACTACATGATCTGATTAGCTCTACTCGAGATGTTTGCGGTCTGTTAGTTTATACCATATGCTCTGAATCTGGGTTCGGATATGATGCATTTATTGACACTAAGCAAATTACAATATTAATTCATTATATGCACACGAAACGTCGCCTTATTCTCTACTGCACCACAGTAGGGACTTTGTGTTTGAGCACAGTGATTCTGTTTATTTATTGAGGTGCCTCCAGCCGTGAAACCAGAAATTTTCTGTTCATGGCAGTGGTTTTCGCTTTGTTCATCTACAAATACTTATGAAATAGGCTTATTCAAATGATAATTGAAGCACTGTGATTGATAGCTGCTTTCCTGCTTCTGTTAGCTGAAGGATTCTATCAGTTTTATGCGTCTAGTGATACCAGTATGTCAATATTGTCAGTGAAAGCGACTTATATAGTCCCATTTGTTTGTCTCTG